GTCTACTACTGAGCCACAACCCCAGCCCCTCAACAGAAAAATCTTGAGGAAACATATTTGAGCTCATAACAGATGTGTACATTGATCATGCAACTGATTTAAACCAGAAACATACAAACTACATATCTTCATTTGACATTATCATTGAAAAGACTGAAAAGTTAAGGTCCATTGTGAATGGCAGGTTTGGGTCTGAACCTGTTCAGTGAGGTTAGAGACAGGCTTAACTCTTAGAAAAGTTTAATCAGATTCTCTCACAGATAATTAGGAAAGATGTCTTGCAGGAGATAGCATCTTTATTAACTGTGATAAGACAGAGTTATGCTAAGGTAACAATTAAATCCAGAAATTTCATAGTTTTACACCACAAAGATTTAATTCTGTGTCATAAAACATCAAACCGTTTTTGAATGACACTGTAAGATATCTTCCCCACTCTGTGGCAAAAGAAATTTAGCCCAAGAGGTCCCCACAAGGAGAAACCATGGGGTAAGTCAAGCCCAGAAGGCTCACAAAGTAATATGGGAAAACTAGGTTCACATTGTAAAGAACCTCAAAGAACAGGCTAAAAGGCTAGCCAGCATAAAATGTGCAGTCACGAAGACTGTTAAGCAAACTGTCAGCATAAACTCTATTACCATATTTTTTTTGCCATGAAATACGTTCAACTCATATCCTTGTACCTATTATTTAGGAAGACTCAAGTAATCTTCTACTCTTTAAGATAATAACTAAAAAAACATCTATTTCGATTATTCCTAGAGAGAACTTTCTTGGTATTAGATGATAACAGTCCCCTAATAGGATAAAATCTATAAAAGAATTATTCTAAAAGCTGAATGTTGGGTAAATACAAAAAAATGAATGAAATGAGGTCATTAGGAATATAGTGTTTGAGAAAGTATGTCACATGCTATTCTTGGAACTGTAGAACCTGTAGCAGATGAAGGATCATATGAGAATTCAAAACTCTGAGTGTATATATTTAGTAACATACTATTGTAGTTGTACACATCAGACAAGTACACCAGAAAGTTCATTGTTGGAGGAACCAGGCAGCAGGTAATGGCAGAAGACATGGAAGTAATGTGAGAAAGGAGGAATGCTAACCAGGCCAAGGTCCTGAACAACTCAGCTTTCTGAAGCTGCCAGGCTGAGCCCAATCCAGCCATTTTGGGATAGGAGGGTATAGACAGATCCCATCAGAATCACACTTAAGAAACATTCACTCAACCAAGAAGAAAAGATTTAAGTTCCATATATGTGCCACTGAGAAAATGTGTGTTTTTTGGTACAATAAAAATTTCAATTAAGTAAAACATTTTTAATGTATAGAAATTCAACAATATCTAATCATTATCACAGATAAATAATGTAATAGCGAAAAACACTTCCTTCGAAAGAAATTTGTGTTTTGCATTGAAATAGAGATTCTATTTTGTGAGAATTATTTTAAAAAATCATGTCAGTATTTTTTTTAACTCTCACGATGTCTTAAAATGCAAAATAGATTTTAAAAAGAAAAATAAATAAACAAATGAAAGGATACATAAACATCATTTGGATTCTTTTTTTCCAGTGTCAGCCTTTTTATCTATAATTTGTATCTATGTAAAAATTAGATAGAGATGAAAGTTTGTGATTAATATAATTTGCTATTTTATAATAAAATAACTGCAGACCATTGGAGCTTTTTCTTTTGTTTTAATTCCATAAGATGTCACTATTAGTCTCAAACACTCTACCCTCTTAGGATTGGAATACTCATATCAAAATACACAGAAAATGCATTCATTCTCTTCTTGGGATTTATACTGATTTGAACCATCTCCTAGAAATAAGACATATTAATGATGCCTGCAGATATTTTAGAAGATTTCACCCTCAAAAAATGGGAGTTTCGGGGATGATTATTTCTTCTAAAGAGTTTATAAGACCGATTAAGATGCCAAACAAGATGGTGCAAATTTCATACAAGGGACATTCAGAAGCTGAGCTGACTCACCAAGTGGGTGACTACTCCTGTGATCATGTTGTTGCTCTTAACAAGTACGGGGAGTTTGATTTTAAAAGGTGATATTAAATAATGATACCATTAATATTACTTAAAAACAACACATATTAACTGATTGTCCTACATATAAATTTTTCTATTTTCCAGATGGAGATATTATGGTGAACAAAGCACATGTATTCCTATTCCTGGTTTTCTGGAATCTTATACTGGTTTCAAAATCAATAATAACAATATATTAAGTCTGTAAAATGCTAATATTTTATATAGGGTGTCTCACTATATAAATCTAATGTATATAGGGTGTCTCACTTATTCTTCACAACAACCCTGTGAAATTGATACTATTATCTTCCCTAAGTTTCAAATGATGGCACAGGCTCAAAATATTTAAATTATAGAAACAAAGCACCCACCTAAAAATGGTATGCATGCAATGCTTTTAACCACTACGCTGCATTCCCTCCTCATCCTGAAGTGATCAGAAATAAATTGGTGAGCTGGGGAAGAGAATCTCACTATTTTTACTTGTGAGGCCAAACCTGGGCATCTGTGGTGGAAGAATTGGGGTGCCCTATCATATTTTGGATGTGTTAAAATACAGAACATAAGGCATCCAAGTTACAGTTCTGCTGTTGGTGAATTGATGTGACAGTCTTCCTGTCCTCCTTTCATTGATCTAATACTGTACTGTTACATGCATAAAATGTGAATGAAAGATACGTTTTGATCCAGAATTCTTAACTCACTGATAAGAGCAATGCAATAGATGGAACTACTGGAGTGTTAACAAGATATTCAGCCCACTCCTTCTAGTGTGGTGTTAGCTCAGAAAACCACAGAGCCTTTGTCTGGATAATTGATGCCTATCCCACTCGATGCTACACCAGTAGCTGCATGTCAGATCAGAACTGATTGAGGCTGGGAGATATTTTAGTCAGCCTGTCTAATCCTTTAAATGCAGCAGAATCATTGGCTTCTACTGCCACAATCCTATTAGAATTTCATCTTTTTTTAAATATGGAGCTCTTGGAATAGTAATTTTTTTGTCTGCATCTGTAAAAGAACCCTCTACCTCTCATGATCATTTCTTCATATAAACTGTATTTTATTATGGAACAAGATTCAAACATACCCACTAGGCTGTGTGTGGTCTCTCTGCACTGTTCTCACTTCTATAGCCCAGTCCCCCAAAGGTAATCATAACCTAAACGCATATACAGGTCTTTCTTAGGACCCCTTCCATAGTTACCCCTGCCTTCCCATATATTAGTTAGGACAGTAGTTCTCAAACTAATATGGTCAAAATCACTTGAAGGTTTGTTTAAGACCCAGACTACAGGGGCTCAACTCCAAAATTGCTAACTGCAGATATGGGATGGGACAAGCTGTTTCCAGGTGATGCTTATGGTGCTGCTGATCCCAGAGCTGCACTCTGAAAACCAATGAGTTAAGAGGCATTACATATGTATTAGTATTAGGAGACAACTGTCTGGTAGTGATTTTATTTCATTAAATAAATTAAAATGAAATTGAAGTTGCCCTTAAAATATGCACTGCACATTTTGAATCAAGTATACTTTGCATATTAGTAAAGAATACCAAGGAGCTATTACAGCATTATAATTGCCACTCTGCAGGCACATTGTCTTAAACTATATCCCATAAGACTGTGCACTTTTCTTTACCTCCAGTCCATCCTGGCTTATTTCCATTGGCATTCTTAGGCTAGTGAATGTGAGATCCCAGGATTGTTTATTCCACACATAAATTCAAGGGACTAGGGTTTTTCTATGATGTAAAGCAAAGTGGTAGAATATGGGGGATTCACTGAGGATAATTGTAAATTGAGGTCTAGATTCTCTTTTTTTTCTCCAGAAAAAAATTAATGAGCAAATAAACAAAAATGACCTACTCAGCAAGTAACCCAGGGTATTTTTGTGTATCCCAAACTTTATCCTGAGCAAGTTACAATTTCTGACTTGCAACAAGCTCCTGAAGTCAAGAATATGACCTATTTGTTCTTGCAATATAGTGAAATGATTCCTACAGTTGACACTGCCATTAAGAAATTATAACTTGAGAGTAATGTTCATATGTACAAAGGAATGAGAACTCCTTAAGAAAGCCCATAGTAATTCAGCATTATGTCTAAAGTAAAATTTGAAGATACCTGTTTAGAAGATATTTCAATCTGATCAACCATCTGTTTTCCCAAATATGTTGGTCTGCTGCTTGATAAGCTCTTATATGTCTCAAGACTAACTTTCTATTTAAATTGATGCATATTGTCACATTACCACATACTTCTAAAAAATATCAATTTTCTGTCTACATATTGTCCAAATTCCAAATTCTCATTGTGATTTTAAAAGACTATAAACAAACTTATAGTCACATTTGGTGCATTGACATTTACAGAGTAAACACTTTCTGTTAGCTTGACTTTGGAATATCTCTCATAGTTGATTTTGAATTAAAAACAAAAACAAAAATATCTTCAGGCATTATATATTATACAAAAAGGGAAATAAAAATGTTTTTATTTAGACTTTCTTCTAAAAAGAGATGACATGTGTCTACTGCTACTTTTGCTTCATCTTTTCTAAGAAAATCACATCCACATTTGGCTTCTGACACTTTAAGCTACATGTTAAAGTAGTAGGATCCAAACTTATTGATACATATTTCCATAATTACAATAAAATTTGATGAACTTAGTTTGTTCATTTTTCTGTTTTCCATAATTAATGGAAGCAGAGGGCATCCTTAGACTCAGAAATGGTTATAAATAATGTTGTAAAGGTGTTAGTCAGCTTTTTGTCACTGTGACCAAGATACCTGACAAAAACAACTTGAAAGGAGGAACAGTTTATTTTGGCTTATGCTTTCTGAGATTTCAATCCATGCTTAGATAGCTCCATTTTTTTAGGTCTAAGGGTGAGTGAGACAAAAATATCATGGTGGAAGGGCATGGCAGAGTAAGCCAAGAAGCAAAGAGAGAGAAGAGAGGGGTAGAGAGACAGAGAAAGAAAGAAAAGGGAAGTACAAAGGAGGCTATAACAGCAAACACCCTTCCCAGTCACAACCTCAGTGACTACTTTCTTCAATCAGGTCTACCACCTCTCAGTTTCCACCACCTCTCAGTTTCCACCACCTCTCAGTCCATTCATCTGTCAGTGGTTTAATCCCCTGATGAGGTTACAGCCCTCATGATCAAATTACTCCACCAAAATTCCACTTCTGAATATTGCTGCATCAGAGACCAAATTTTCAACACAAGAGCCTTTGGCAACGCTTCATATCCAAATTATAATAGTAAAAAGTGGTAAATGTATCAAGACATAGGATAGTATGACATAACAAAAGCTAACATTTGGGGTTTTTAAAAAATATTTATTTCTTTTAGTTGTACACAATGCCTTTGTTTTTATTTATTTATTTTTATGTGATGCTGAGGATTGAACCCAGAGCCTCACACGCACTGGGAAAGTTCTCTACCGCTGAGCCACAACCCCAGCCCTAACATTTGGGTTTTAAGGAATGGTTTTTGATACTCTCAGTATGATTCACTATCACTGAAATAATCACTACTAAGTAATGTGTACATAAATCAGGTACTTAGAAACAATGGAGAATGTTGATAAAATGACCACTACAGATAAATTTGGCATGACAGGTATGGAAGATGATACAGAGCATAATATTATCTATTTAAAAATGGGAAAGGGGACCATTAAAGACCACTACATAGTAAGTACACAGCATGTTGGAGGTTGCCATGAGATGGCCAATGTATATTCTGAGTAATAGAAAATAAAGCATTTTACAGTGGAGCAAATTATATTAAAATAGGATGGATTCATGTGGAATATTTCAAATGTACTCAGAACTATGACAAATTATCAAGTAATTATGATACTTTGATTGAACTTTTTTTTATAATGATTAGATTTAATCACTGTTGATGGCTCCCTTTCAGGGAAAACACTTAAGTTTGACCTTGAATTAGCCTATATAGTACATGTAAAACTGCATACTTGCCGGAATAAATTTCACAGTGTTTTTCTTTCTTAGACTATCAATAAAGTTCTGGTCCAGTATGCGGCAATTGTGTCAAGTGATTTCAGTTCATATTGTGATAAAGAAAATGTGGTAAGTAAAACTGTTTTTACTTTCAAGTTATCTCTCATTGAGATTTACTTCTTCCAGTTTTGAGGAAGCAAGAGAAATTATTAATTTCTTTATTCATACAGGACAATAAGAAATGGGGATCTCAAGAAATTATTTGAAAATATCTCTAGTAGTCTCAAATTGGTTTCAATATAGGGTTCACAAGAAGGTTGAAAAGTGTCTCAAAACCTTTGGGTTTTCCATGTTGATAAGAAACAAGATGCACATATATCATTGAAAACTCACATACTCTATAAACAATGGGATCTGAGAATTAGGAAGTTAAAATTAGATAAGTATTGACAACAACTAGTTTCACTTTAACACCAATGCTAAAATAAGTATAATTTGTTCTTTATATTTTCAAGTAGATTGAGAAGAATGGTTAGTATATGGAATAAATTGGTTCTTACTGTGAATTATTAATGTATTTTTTGATGATTGAGGAAATACGTATAAAATTCAAACTATTATTCCAACTTTCTCAAGAAAATGTATAAAGAAAAGCAAGATAAACCGATTATTTGGAATATAATCAGGGCTGTTTTATGATGAAAGGTGAAAGACTCCTTATTTACCATTTGTATTATTAGGAAAAATACGATGACAGCACTAAACATGTTGACAAGAAAAATATGTTGACAGGAAAAATATGTTGACAGTAAGAGGTTTCAAACAAAAAGTATTGAAAAAAGTGGTTAAGAAATGAAGACAGGATTTTTAAGTTAAATTTTTAAGAGCTTTATCTTTTTTGTTTTAAGAGAAGAAAACAAGGAATTTTTCCCCCTCAAAAAAAAAAAAAAAAAAATCAGTCCTTGCTATTTAAAAGAGAATTCTAAGAAAGCTACTAGTCTGCTGAAACCCCACTGACCTCTTGCTGACAGCTCATTAAGTCAGTCCTGATGATTCTTAAGGGTTCCAGAAGATGCCTCTTTCCCTTAAATTAATATGCTGCCTAGAAATTTTAACTCTCACATATCTCAGCAATGATTTCTAATTGACACTTATTATGAATATTTTAAAGTAAAAGAGAGTATTATTTATTGGAAGCATATGTTTCTAATTAAAGGATAGAAGATAAACATATCTGAAGTTTATATTAAAATTTTAAACAATGCCTTATAATTTCAAAAAGATTCTGTTTGTATTAGGATAGCAAAATGAGGAGTCCAAAAGTGGTTGTGAAATACTAAAGTTAATTCCTTTTTTTCACAAAGGAAAATTCACTTTTAAAGACTCCTACAGACTTCCAAACTTGATGTTTTACAGCACTCTACATTATATTTTATAATAAAAACCATAAGATAAATATTATCAATTAGTATTTTTGTATTATTCTATGTAATTTTTCTGTTTCATGCTTTTTTTAAAAAAATTATTTATTTGTTTTAGAATTGGTTGGACACAATACCTTTATTTTATTTACTTATTTTTATGTGGTGCTAAGGATCAAACCCAGGGCCTCACGTGTGCTAGATGAGCACTCTACCTCTGAGCCACAATCCCAGTCATGCTTTTTAAAATAATGTTTTATAGTAAGAAAAAAGAAAAAGAAGCCCTTGCAAATATTCTAGCACAGGAACTTTCCTTCCTCAGTTGTTCTTCCCTACTTACTGATACCTTCACCAGCCTTATACATGATTGCTTAAATACAAAGAATCATTTTAACATTTTGTGAGTACATTATAATTACGCATAATAATGGGATTCATTATGCCATCGTTGTCCATGCACGTAATTTGATCAATCTCCTTTCAAGTGCCTTCTCTTTCCCTCCCACCTTCCCTCCTTCTAGCCTCTTGCTCTACTCTAGTGATCTCCTTTCTGTTATTATTAGTATTATTTTAACTTCTAACTTTTATAAAAGAATATAAATTTGTTACCTGATTTACGCTTTCACTTGAGACAAAGGGAATAAGTGCTTTTGTACATTTTCATGAATACATGTAACTATTATTATAAATTTATTTTAGTATTAACACCATTGAAATTTATTGTAAATTTCTCAGTATATAAGTTGTGATATAGTAATTTATCTGCAAATTGAGCTAGAAACATTTAAAGTTAGACATCATTTAAGATATGACCACACATTTGATTTGCTAGGGGTCAAAGTTAAAGACTACAGTGTCCATGTCAGAATAAGTAATGTTCTACTGTGACATTTTAAATTGCAGATGGGTCAAAACACTTCTATCCTTTTGATCCCTTATTCTAAAAGATATCAAAATTATCAAAATCATAATTGCTTTATTTTTGATAATTTAAAAAATTATTTTCAACTCAGAAACACTTCAGCAATGTAGAAATGGCCCTAGTTTAAACAAAACTAATTTTTGAATTCATCATATTTCAGGTTCCTAACTGTTTTAGATTTAAGATCAAATGAAATGGATTATATTTTTAGGAAGAAAGCCAAAATGCACAAATAAAAAGATACGATTTGACTTCAAACATGGGTTATTTTAACTTACTAAAATCCTAAACAAGCAATACCCCTGATTTAGATTAATGTTCTTTTGTTTATTTGTTTGTTTACTATGATATGTTTAAACTAAAAGCCATTTCATGATTACATTTAAGGTAGATTTTTGTAATCTAGTTCTCATCAGTTATTTGATGAATTGATTTAAAATACTGATATAATAAAAGTGAACTTTGGGCATTTCAAGGCCACAAAAAGCTTACTAAAAGAGGAGAATTTCATATTTATTTTTATCTCCCTCTGGATAGTTGTATCTCTTTTTCTCCATAGCAATCCATAGGGTCAGTAGCAATCCATGCCAAGAGAGCCCAACCACCCATTTTTATTTTGTTTTTTAATAGCTCAGAAATGATCATGTTAAAAAGGCTTGGTGGTTAGTCTTCATTTATAAAGCTGATACTGGGATCCTGTTATGTGTGCCAACAAAGACAGGCTTCAGTGCTAATGTCGAAAAATCACATGAGAGTCAGACCCACTGGGAGCAAGTGATGAAATCCTTCACCCATGTGAAGGGTTCTCATTATAAAACATAGTCTTATTTTGACCTTGGATTTCTTCCTGGTACAATTACCAAATTCATGCCAAATCTTCCCCTTCTGCAATAAAAATTATCACAATGACCCTATTTCCTAGTAGAAGAAAATAGCACATTGGCTCAGTGTGTGGACATCAGAGCAAGATGCTGAATTCCCTGAAAATTCAGAAATAGGAGTAAACCTAGGTAAAGTAGTTCTGATCCTGGCTGGGGTCAGAATAATTTATGGAACATTCTGATTCAGCTAACTGGAATCTATGAGAGATAAATCTCAGTTATCTGTGCTAAAAACAATTAGTATTTAAGTGACTAGAATCAAAGGATCAGAATAGAAGTTTAAAATTGTTTTCATAAATCAACGTCAAGATGTGGTCACTTTAAGAGTCAAGTACAAAGTTTTTCAAAGGTCAGGAATGTGGTTAAGGCAATAATAAAATCTTTCCACTGATAAGAGCTACTACCTCTCTGACATCCTGTGAGTCCTTTGCTTGACTCTCTGATTCATTATTGGCTCATTTCCCAGCAACTTGAAAGATATATCCATTTTCCTTTCTTTGTTGTCTCCTCCACTGATGTACTTACTGGCTCTTTAGAATTGATATGCAGGAAATATTAAATGATTCTGTAACTATTCCAAATTTTACTTTTCCAATTATAAATTAATTTCCACTCTTCTAAGATCACATCTAGTCTTGTCACAAAGTTTCACATCTTTTTTTATTATTATATCTATGAAACTTTGGAAACAGAAACAACGTTTTTAAGGCATATATTATGTTTAAAGTAATGTGCAATAGTCTGCAAGTAAGAAAAAATAGAAAAAAAAGCAACTCAGCAAGTACAATGTGTTGAAGGTTAGCTGGTGAGAGGCAACTTAAATATAAAGTAATATAAAGCAAATGCCACATAAGTGATAAAAAGAAAGATAAAATCTAGGAAAGAAAGCTCTAACCCAAATGATAGATATGATTCATAGGCACAGAGGAAAATGCAAAGGGAAATATGGATCAGAAGCAGGTAACAAGGGGACCTGAATATCATCAGCATGTGCACTTTATCAGTAGCAAGAGAAATTCATTAAAGGTGATCTTACTTTTCTGAAAGTTTTCTTGGATTTAAAATTTTGAGGGTTGGTGTTGTAGCTCAATGATTCAGCAATAGAGCACTCGCCTAGCATGTGTGAGGCACTGGGTTCAATTCTGGGTTTAATATGTATATATTAAAATTTTCAGATGGTGCTTTGTCTTTAAACAGTGAAAGTTCAGAATTTAAACTAATCTGTTTTTCCCAAAAATAATGTGGCTAATTTCTAAGCATGAAATGCCACTATATTCAGGATAAAAAAAATCCTAGGAGCAAGTCTCCAATGGTCTATTGTGTAGTATGTTTTTAAATTTCATTTAAAAACATTATATTGATCATTATAATGTTTCCTTTTCCATCTTTAGCTGTTAACCATATTTTGAAGTAGCTGAGTGATTGTATTTGCCAAATATAATAGAACAGCAATGAAAGCTGTATACTGCCACATTTAAGGTAAATTCATTCAATATATATATTTATACGATATTCAAAATAGTCTTCTATTTTCCTTGTTTAAAGCCCTGTATCTTGATGAACAATATTCAACAATTACGAGTCCAGCTGGAAAAAATGTTTGAATCTATGGGAGGGAAAGAGGTAAGTGTGTTCTTATTCCTGCATTTGTTGAATACCTACTTAGAGATCATTAGCAGCATATCTCCTTAATCAAATTTTTACATGGCTTGTCAAAGAACGTAAAGTGATGATAATCTAAAATCCCATTATCAATCAAGGCAATTTTAATCTACAGCAGAGTACTTTAGTAAAGAGAAGTGTGAACGGAAGGAGGGAGAAAGCCTTTTGTCTTGTGTATATAGAGTCATATATACACAAATATATGCATATATGCTAATGATCTGTAAAGCACCACAAATAATAGATTTTTTTATTGTATTGTACAATGTCAGTTTAATATCGATGTTTGTTATGAAATACACACTGTGGCATGAATGGTTTTGGATATATCAGTGGTTTATTTTTCACATCAAAAAAAGCTATGTCAAAATGTGTTGTGTGTTGTGTCTGTAATGTGTCATGTCTCTGTCCAACATCTTTGGCTTCCAATTCCATGAACAGAAGAAGGAAGGAGAGAGATTCTTTTATGAGGTTTGTGATAGTATGCATCTGATCCTTTGCCTGGCTGTTTCTCTGACATTACACCAAAAGGCCATTGCACTGCCTACTTAACTCTCATTTGCTTGTTTGGATCAGGCGGAGTGAAACATTAGCTGTGCACTTGCCTCTTCCTGCCTGGCAGTCCTCCTCATGCCTCCCCCACCCCACCCCCACCAGTAGACCCCCCCAAACATTTGACTGTGTGAGGATTGAGAAATGGAGAAAGTGCTGAGGGCAAGAGTCTTGAAACAGGGTTTCTCACTCACTCACTGTCCCCTCCCCATAATGAAACAATCCTGAGAACAATCCCAAGAACAGCTCATTTTGAGTGTGTGGATATTTCTGTTCAAAGTTAGTATACATTATCCTAACTGTGATAAAATGTAGACATATGTAAAACTAGGTTGAAGTTCAAAGCACATATCTCTTTTATTTCTAAATCTGTGTTGCTGGAAATGCTTTTTTATGATGGTGCTTCTTCATGTACGAAGTTGCTTTTAACCCTGAGAGGATATTTATACACGCCTCTCACTCAACTATGTCTGTTTCATTTTCAGTCTCTTAAAAAAAATGAAGTTGCTACTTAACATCCTACAAATGAGAAGCACCAGAATATGTGTGTGATGGTGCAAAACTTTTTAACATGAACTTTTATGAGCTGTGTTTCCCTTGCAGTCTCAGTTTAATTTGCACAAAATAAGGCTTAATTCCCCAAAGTGTGTTAATGACTGTTGCAAGGTTGGAGGGCATCAATCTCATTTCAAACTTCACGTGCTAAACTGGTTGAGCACAAGCTCTTAAGGATCATAACTTAAGATCCCCTTCTTAATTTTAGTGTTGCTTTTATATTCAGACTTGTAAGTCCATTTACAATTTTGAAAAGTAGTAAATAAATTACTGATTTCTTATGGGAAATCCCGTCTCCTTTCAGTGAATTGTAAAGACCAGGAATCATTTTAGAATGAGCCTATGTTTAAAATGTCATATTTCCAGAAATTTCTCTACATGTTATTACTATTTCATTTTTATTCGGTATGTGCTCTCCAATATGACTAATATATTGCTGAGCCGAATATTAACCAGAAAAATCAGAAAAGACAGACCGAACAGATTAACCAAACCTGTACTTAGAAGAAACTGTATGGGCTAAGCCACCTGGTAAGTAAACAAGTTGTTAGGTGGCTCAGTTGTCAGTCAAAAATGGATTCTTATTTCAGATAAAATTACCAGTTTGAAATGTCCCAAGTTTCACACTATAAATTTAATTTTGAGAACTCTTTACTGGAGAAAATAAGAAAGACAGAAATGCTGAGTGTGGTGAGTTCTCTTTTTATAGCCATGCAATATCTATTTGTTAAATTCCTCATACATAATTTAAAAGGAATTTTTAATTTAAAAAATGAAATGAATGTCTAGCATCTAACTATATAACCTGTTGGATGGATAACATTGACCTTATGTTCCTTCATCGCCTACATTTAAATACCTTTCTTCCCTTTCCTCATTATATATGTATTCTCCTCTATGTTTTCTCTCTCTATCTCTGTCTCTCCATGCATAGTTCTTTTTCAACTTTTGTCTTTTTTTTGCTAAGGAAAAAATTTAAGCAGGACCCGTCTGCATTGGCATAGGAATTGATAAAGCATCAGGAGAAAACAAGACCTGAATCCAAGTCTGAGTGTGACATACAACCTTCCAGGCAGAAATAAACTGAATTAATACAGAAATATGTTAGGGTCATTTGTTGTTAACCTTCCACTAGACACAAGAACCTCAAAGTAAAAGGCAGATTCATTACAACACCCTTACCTGCATATGCCGGTATCTAAATGGGTTTCTTAATATGAGAATTTTATAAAGATGACAAGGATTTTATCAAGAATGACAGGATTCACCCTTCAATATGAAAAGTGTATATAGCTTTTATACTTATATTGCCTTTAAAGGTTATATTATGGGAACTAATGCTAATTCCCAGATATTTCCTCACAGTGAAACTGATTATAAACCCAAAGGCAAACTTTCTACCCCTGATCTTATTTTTTAGGAGTTTATTAAATTTTGTCCCCTTCCATCTGTGCTGTAATGTGCAGTTCTTGCTACACAAATCGAAAGAGTAAATATATGTTATTGCATTTGCTCCACACATTTTTAATGCCATGTGTTTCTTAGTTGGCTTCTAACAACACTGTTGCTTGCCTCTTATACTTTGCAAAGTGCTGGCCGCTTGCAGGCATGGCTGCATGATGCTGCAGCTCTCTGCTGCTTTAACCTGATCATTGTGTGAGGGCAGTTGCTCTTTGTTTTTTAGGATTAACCTTCTTTTCTCTCTGGAAACAGGATTATTTAAAACCCTTTTGTGGTGGAAAAATCCACTCTGTGTGGAGTCCAGGATGGAAACATTGTTGAACAACATTGGGATTATGTTGTTCAAGATGGCTCCAAATAGTAATCACTTAAGCTGTTTTTGTTAGGAAGTACACACATGATGTCCCATGGGCCATGTCCACAGAATTCCAGTACCCTGTTAAATAAGAAAATCAAAAATGAAAAGCAAACCACGAAATTTCTTCTCCTAGAAAGTGACTTTCCAAAAGCTTCTCTGTGTATAAGAGTATGTTTACCATTGCAACTTGATTTCTCTAGGTAATACAGAATAAGTTTTGTGAATTACACAGAAAAAGTAACTTTAGAAATGAGGACCAGATTATTTTCATAAAGCACATCAAGTGATATTTTTTATGTTCATACAGTTTAGGAATCGCTATACTAAAATAAAAGTGCCAGTCCAAGTTATGAACTGACTTCAGAAATCAGAAAGGTTAATCATTTATACCCCATCCCCATACTGTGTTACCTATCACATTATCACAATAGAACAGAAAAATCATTATCAGAATGCCATGTGATAATTGTTGTTCACTGGTGAATGTTTATTTTATTATCTTTAACAGCTCAAATAGCTCAAAAATAAAACATATTTTTTTTGTTTTTATTATTTTAATAGCTTAATTACTTCATGGATATAATTCAGCATATATCAGTTACAAATACTTAGTCTGCATTTATTTGGTTACAGAAACATATGGTTATAGCACATGATGATGACTTATCAATGTTTCCTTCATCTACAATCTGATTTGTATAATATATGAAAAAATTAAATAATTAAAAATTTAATTTTTCTTCAGGAATTAGTAAGTATTGGTTATAGAATTCTGTAAAACATGGTAATTTAGAAGAATTGTGATTATGTGTAAGTGAAAGGTAAATTACTTCTTTGCAATATTGTATTGGTACAGTCCTTTCAAACAGAAGAATCTGTTTGATTTAGCCCTAATAATGCTTGACAGTCCTTCAAATTCTAGAAGTTAGCCATAATTAAGATGTTTAGGAAGATATGGGATTGGTTTGTTCAGCTAAATTCTCCCATTCTTCTAACCACAAAGAAGACAAGTTGGCACAATGGTAATGCTATCTTTATTGATATGTTTCAAAGATCATGCAACATTCTCATCTCATGGTGGTAAAGATCCTATAAGAGTAACTTCCACATACATCCAAACTGAATAGGATTCAAGAAATCTGTGACAAAATCCCACAATCCTAAAATGTGTATTTTTAAGGGGTGGGGGATAGGCTACCAGGTATTGAACCCAGAGGTGCTTACATTGAGCCACATGCCAGCCTTTTTTATTTAATTATTTATTTATAATCTTGAAACAGGGTCTTGCTAAGTTGCTTAGGGCCTCAATAAGTTACTAAGGCTGACTTTGAACTTGCAATTCTCCTGCCTCAGCCTCCTGAACTTCTGGGATTATAGGCATGCACCACTGTGCCCAACCTAAAATGTGTGTATTTTGAGGAACAACTGAGATATTCTTTTGATTCAGAGATGCATATCTATATCATATTTAATTTTATTGGTGAATTTAAAGTGCCAATTAGAAATTGCATTTGCCTGCCCCAAAGTATATGTGTGTATGTAGCTCAATGAAATTCATTGCAGAACCTATTAGTAAAATGGACTTGATCATTAGCTAAGCAACCCCAGACCAAAGAGGAAAGAAACTAACCTCTGTCATTTTCTACCTGGCACTACCCTCTCATTATATGTGCAAGAGGATTAAAGACCACTACTTTAAAGGAAATAATCCTCCATGCCAATAGTTGCTGAATTTTAACATGCATAAAAATTACATAGTAAGCTTATTAAAATACATTGCAAACTCTACTCTCAGGGTATTTGCTTCAGTAGGTCAAGAGTGGAGCCCCATTATTTTTATTTATAACAAATTTCTAGAGTTACTGATGCTACTAGGATAGGGACTACATTTTGAGAATCACTGCTCTATGATTTTAAAACAGGGAAAAGATAATTAGAAAAGAGCACAGAATACCTTTTTCTTATTTGTGCTCCACTTTTACCAGCCTACTTTCTGGTAGGACTTATTAATGTTTCCTTCATCTACAATCTAATT